TGAGTGACCTTTTGTCTTCAAAGAACGATTGGTTTAATGTAAACGATGCGGCAACTGGTAAATTACGAATGAGCTGCATATGGAAGCCGATACCAATCGAAGATAGTTTGGACACTGGCGTAGGAGCTTATGGTGAGCCGTTGAAATTTATCGGGATCACATCGATCTCACAATTCGGGTTTGAGTGAATTCATGTAACATGGATTTTTTTTCATTCTTAGTTGACCCAATTGGTGTTATTAGAGTCCATACCAAGAAAGCCGTTGGCCTCAAATCCTCGGGACCACTTGGAGGTTACTTGTTTTGTTGATTATATTATTGCTTTATAGTTGGGTCTTCATTGCTGAAAGTTTTGAATTGAAATGTAGGAAAATGCGATCCATATGTCGTCCTTAAACTCAACAACATTTTCCGTGGCAGAACCGAAATGATTTTGGATACTTGCAATCCCGAATGGAATGACGAGATATTCTACATACCTGTGCATTCTATAAGGGAAATCATCAATTTAACAGTCTGGGATTATGAAAATGCCGGTAAAGATAAGCTAGTTGGATCGACGGAATTCAAGGTGGGGCAATTATTTAAGCAAAACGAAGACGGCATGTACTCCCCTACGGAAACTCTTGATACGTGAGTACGAAATATTTATGGTGCGTTTCACATGTTGTGCCTATCTTTTTTAAATCGTCTAGCTATTCTTCTACTACACTCAGGTCTTTCACCTTAAGTCACAACGGAGAAAATAGGGGACACCTGTTCTTCACAGCCAGCTATCATCCGACGGTACAAACGCCGAAGGTTATAGCTGAAAAGGAAGGTGACGTCGAGATACCGGAGGTTATTTCAGAGGAAGGCAAAGGAGATGCCGTTGAAGTGTCAAATGTCGTCGAGGAGAAAAAGGTTGCCGAAGTACCAAATGTTACTATTAATGAACCCGAATGTCGTAAGTTGAACAATATCTTTTTTACACCATTTATCAAATTATTCATGCGATTCTTTTTTACGTTAAAGAAAGTGGGATTCTAATTGTCAACCTTAAGAAAGCTACATTGGAGAAGAGAGGTGCCCTTGTTGATGTTATTGTTGATAATGCGTTATTCCCCTCCTTTACCTCAAACAGTTCTAAGACCCAAAATCCTGAATGGAATCAAGGTACCTCCTCCAAAATTTATCGAGTTCATAGAATCAATATTCGAACATCATTCACAGACTAAAAAAAAAAATTTTATTATTATTATTTTTTTTTTTATGATCAAGTCTTGGATGTTTTTATTAAAGAATTGGATTGGGCCAAGGTTACCTTTAACATTAGACAGTTCACCGACAAAAATCCGATAGCCTCTGTTGTTCAAGATGTAAAAAACTTAATTGAAAAATGCAAAGAGTCCCCTGAAGGCATTGCACTTAAAATTGACGAGATTCCTAAACAAAAAAAGAATAAAAATCAGCAACATATCTACATAATTTATAAATTATTATAATATATGCGAACCATTGTTTTCGAGACTAGGCGATCTTTCCCTTTCCTGCGTGCTCGTTTCAGTTGCTCCGGAAGTAATTTCTCTCGTCGTTTCTTCTACCTTTTGTTTAGGAGTGGATAATAAAAGTACTAAAAGTTCGATGCATCGCGTCAGTGAGTCTATCGGTATGTAAATTTAAGAATCAAGTGGCATGCAATATTTGCTTCTTTCTTTCTTTCTCCTTTTTTGCTGACGGAGTATCTTCTCGATAATCAGAATCAATAGGAGAGCCGGGAGCTCTAAGATTGACGATCATCGAGGCCAAAGATTTGATCGCAGCCGATAGTGGGGGTAATATGTCACAAAATAAATCCTTTCCTATTAATTAATGTGTATTGTTAATAATGTCGATGGACTGATAAAGGTAAATTATTTTTATTATTATTATTTAGGTACGAGTGATCCATATGTCAAAGTAAAGATAAATAAAAAGGAAATATTTAAATCCCCTGTCATAAAGAAGACCTTAAGTCCTAGATGGTAAGAGTTCTGTGCAGTCA